TAACGAAACTATTAATATGCTACTTTTTCCTCTTAAAATGCCTTGAAAAAATTTAATCCAAAGACCTAAGACTTAAAAGTGCTTAGAACTGTTATTTCTTCTTGTAGTTTACACTGAAGTGGAGCAAAGGATCATGGTCTATGTAGTTCCTTCTGTCTTTTTTTATTTTATTTTAGCTACTGCTGCACTATAACTCTTAATTTAAGCAAAGAGACTTGTAATTTGATATATTGTGATGGTTCACGATGTTATTGTGAGAACTTTGATGATACGATATCACAATATTTCGGTTATTGTTACATCACTACAGACTCATAACAAAGGGTCACTCAAACATAGCTCCAGGTATATTATATTATTATAACTTGGCTTAAAGCTCATAAAGTCAATTTTGCATAATATAGAACCATTAACCAAAATAGTGTAATTTGGTTGTCAAATTGAATCAAATCCTTGGAATGCCTAATTTGCTTTATGGAGTACAACATTTCTCCTTTTGCCTGAGGAAGAAACCATGTGTGTTATTCTCTTGTCCTCTGAGCCTGATCAGTGTGGGATAAATCTCAGAAGTCTAGCGCTGAGATATCACCATTACACGACACTGCCAAAAGTCAATATTTCATTTAAAGTGATATAGCGTGGCTTAAACCCTCCCTAATCACAAGCGACCTTCTTGGTTGACTTAACAATAAACTCCTATGAGCCTAATAAAGAATTACCCCTGTCTAGTACGCTGCCTCAGGGACCGGACCCAAAGTGAAAATAGTGCTATCCTTTCTCTCAGGGCAGACACAATGCAGACTCGCTCTATCCGTGACCTCTTTTGTTGATAGAATATTGACAGGGCACTAATAGCTATGACTGAAGACTAGTTTAAGGCGCACCAGAGCAGGGCCAAAATTGCGTGAAGGCCAGACTTCCTCATCACCAAAGTAGTGCGTCTCCCCACAGCGACCCAGTTTTGTCCAACAGAAAGCACTATTCTGTTTGTCTGGCCACATTAGCCTCAATGGCGGAATACTACGAGAATTCCCCGGGGATGTCTAGGCAGTCTGAGTCCCTCACGCACATGCCAACCAGTGCCTCAATGAAAAGTGGAACGCATTATCAACTCCCAGAGGTTAAAAGAAGAAAGTTTGTTACAGATAACACATTTAACTAAGCTTTAAAAGTCTATGCTCATAAATCACGACTGTTATGGTGATTTATCAATGCCGGAGTTTCTCATTGAGTAAACTGAACATCTTGTAATTATCAAGCGGTAACTGTGTGGAGGTGAAGATAGAATACAGGTGAAATTGCCGAGGGGTCTGTACTGATGAAAGAAACCATTTTGTGTTTTATGTGCGTCATCATCACACCAATAAACCAAAAGGTGAAACAGACTGCAGAGAAAAGTCGCCATACCCTTTCAAATATCATCTATTTCTGAAAAGTACAAGTTCAGAGAGTGGTACGCTGGACATAGGCTACTAAAAATTTTGCAGATTCAATTAAAATACAGTATTCAGTAGGGGTGTAACGATATTCAAGTCTCAAGATACGATGTCGTCATGGTATGAACCTCACGGTACGATATTTATTGAGACATTGTGGGGAAGCTCACGATAACGGATGTAACAATATCCAAATCTCTTGGTATGATATTTTCATGATTTATATCTCTCTATACCGTATTTGTTGAGATATTTTGTGGAGGTTAACAAAACTGTTAATATGCAACTTTTTCCTCTTAAAATGCCTTGACAAGACTTAATCCAAAGATCTAAGACTTAAAAATGCTTAGAACTGCTATGAAATGGAGCAAAGGAGCATGGTCTACGTAGTTCCCTCTGTCTTTTTTTAGCTATTGCTGCACCATAACTCTTAATCTAAGCAAAGAGTAATAAATAATAAAAGAGTAATTCGATATATTGTGATGGTCCACGATGTTATTGTGAGAACTTTGACGATACTATATCACGATATTTCAGTTATTGTGACATCCCTAGTCTTCAGAGTCAGTTCAGTGTTTTTAAACCTTTTTTGAGTGACTGCACATTTTTTGGTCAAAAAGATTATCTGGTGTACAACCATCTTAAAAAAATTACAGTTTAGACAAAAAAGATGCAAAAGTTTTCATTTTTGGTTTAGAAGTTGCACAGGACAAAGTGGCAACTCATTCTATGAAATCCAAGTGTGAACTTTTTTCCCTCGAGGCACACCTAGAAATACCTCAAGGCACACTCTGTTCCCTGACACACTGGCTGAAACATTCACTGTATTTTCTAGTCAATACAATATAGTTCTATTTGTATTTTTGGGAGTATTTTCTGAAGAATTTGACGATGTTTCATTATATTATGCACACGTTTAATTTCTTTACTTAGATTAAGATTTAGACTTTATTGTTCGACATGGAAACTTTTTTTTTTTTTCTGATTTCTACAATCTGTTAAATGAAAGCAAACATTTGAAGTAAATGAAAAAGGGTTTTGCATAAAAGCAGCATAAAAGAAGGTGTAATAAGATCTAGTTAAACTCATAAACCGTTTGTGTCTGAATTATGTTACCTGTAAAACATTCACATTTCCATAAGACTGTACTTTCACATTCCTCTTCTGTATTTCCATGTTGTATTTTGATACTTGCACTCCATTCTGTACAGGCCTAGTTTACATTTTGTATATAGGCTACATGTGCAAGATTGGTTTCCTATACTTCAAGATTGACACTTTACAATACATCCAGAAGTCTGTGAAATGAGGATGCTTCACTGGCCACTAGAGAAATTCCTTGTAAGTTGCTTTTCGCCTAGACCCTATTGCTCTGTTGTAAATTGAGCCTGGGTTTCAGCTTATGCAAATCTATCTAGTGAAAAGTGAGATTTTTTTCCTCTCAAATGTTCCTCTCTTACCCTCCTCCCCCTGCTTTCCTCTATACCCATGACAATCCATCAACACAGATAAAACCCAACCATCTCCGAATTCTTCATTTCTGCTGCCTCCAGATTTTCCTTGGCACAAGCAGACCCAGCTTGCATCACTTTTTTACCAGGAAGTAGAACAGCAAATCCACAGAGAATGAGATTACCCTTAAAGTATGTTTATATGTTGAATAAAGTGGATACTAATCATGGATATCCTCTCATCAGGTCGCCAGCAGTAAACAGGCTCGGTTTAGGGGCTAGGTGGACCAGATAGGGCTATTTTGTCCAATGTCTTCTTTATTTCAGACTGAAAATGAAAACAGAGAGAGTCTTAGTGAGGAGTTAAAATAATAATTATATTATGAACTCCACACCAATAACTCTTCTTTAGCAGATGACTGAAAACATAGCACTCCCATCAAGACCTATCTTCTTGTACACAATTCACCAAACCACTATTTAAAGGTGCCCTATGCAACTTTTGCTCATGAAGCATCCATATTCCACAGTTTGATATTAACATCTCTATCTCCATAAAAGCAAACAGGCAATGCCACCATGCCTAGTCACTGGTCTAATTTGTGGAGATGTTTCTCAAGATATTATTTAAAGCAATTTTTACAGGCCAGGTCCATATGGGCTCTTGCCCTATTAACTGCTCTGCTGCCTCTCCTCTCAGTGCAGGTCTCTGCACCTGCACACTGCAGGTGCAGCCACTCCACTCACCTGTGACCTGGCTTTCTGTTAATTCATCTTCGCTGGACATTCACATTAACATTTACAAATAAAAATCGTGAGGTTTGCCCTCCTTGTTACAGTGCTGAGCAAACCAGAACATACACAAAGAACATCTGTAATTGAATAAACAACCACAAGATAGATCAGTTTAATGCCATGGAGCGTAACATTCCACACAAAACAATACTATGCTCCTGGGGAGACAAAGAAGTGGCACCTTTAACTTGCTAATAAAAAAAGGGGAGAGAAGGACAGCAACATCCACTGTGAGAAAACACTGAAATCTCCCCAAGCCCTTTTTTTGTAAAATTGGTCTATGTAAAAAAAAGAAAAAAAAAAGGAGGAAAAGAAATAACATTCTCCTTTGACCAAAGCATGTTCGAAACAGGTTCACAGGAAGGTTTCTTTCAAAAACCATTTGATCTGAGTAGCAGGAAACCAGACCTTGCATTGAGAGTGCCACACTTACATCTGTGGGACCAAATCCTTTTAGTGTTATCATGCACTGCAGATATGTTGGCCTATAGGGCGGCAGTAGAATCTATTAACACATTTGAGGCGATAACAAAAGATGGGCCTTATCAGACTGGTACAAGTGACAAAGAATGCATTAACATTTATGGAGCTCTTGTCTGCCTCTGAGCCCACTCGCTCCTCTCCTCCTAATGCTGCGGTGCACTCTGTTTGTGCAGGACTTTATAATGACCAATACAATCCCAGACTGTGCTGATTTTGCATAAGAAAGTGGAGAGTACATTTTCAAAAGGGGCCCGAGCCATTAGAACAGTGCACTGCCAAATAAACAATGACGGCAACACTCTCTTAAACTAACCAACTAGTTTTGGACCCAAATGGAGATTAATGCACATACCATTAAAACACTAAAGGGTATTTATTCTGTGTTTCCTTACTTATAATACAATGACCATAAGATTTGCAAATGTAATGTATTTATTTACTGGACTCATAGCCAAAACTAGCATGCTCTCTAATGATTTTAATTCTTTCCTATATGGGCCCGTGGGGGAGAGGTTAAATAGTTTTTGTTCAAGTATTATTTTAATTATATTATATTGAATTTGTAATGTGAGTATATGATACCCCATATGATGCAGTACAGAGAGGAGAGACTAAAAACAAATATTTCTTTCCTTAAAACACAAATGTCTGATCATATTGTGTAAATGCAACTATTCCTCATGTAATTATTGAACGCTCTGTAAAAGTAAAAAGTCAAACATGAGAGGTTCAGGGCTAAAATGAAGTAGGCTTTGACCGCTTCTCTTCCTCTCAATGACTCAGACTTTACGTAAGTGCTGTATTATAAGATCCAGGAGGAGGGTAATGGTCCTACCGTCGTTGCAGAGGGGCCCTCCGAAGGTGGTCATGCTGCAGTCACAGCTGAAGCCCTCCCACTGCTGCAGACACACGCCCTGGTTAGCACAAGAGTCCTCCTGACACGTGGTGCTCGGACCTGGAGTGGACACATACACAGGGATAACGGGATCAGACACTACAGAGGAGCCACCGCTATTTTAGGGAACACGAGAACTATTCATTTACATTTCAAACTCCATTTCGACACTAAGATTTTGAAACCACAATGACTAGACTACACTCTTTTTTGAGACGATACACTGTATGCACAATGATTAGACAAGTTTCCACAATTATTAGTCAAGTGGGTATTATGTCTGGGTCTAATGTCGGTCTAATGTAGGAATGTTTAGGGGTTACCATGGTGACACAATGGCACACATTAGCAAACACAGTCAAAGAAAGTTTTAAGATTGTCTGAAAACTCAAGCACAAATACAAAATGGATTTCAATAACACATTTTCAGAAACTTGTGATCAAAATAAGTGTTCACGGTCCTGTTTAGGTGTTTAATTTTCAACAGAAGTGATGTAAGTGACTAACTAAAAACCTGTTTGCTAATGATAACTTGTGACTGTAATTTTATGCACGAGAGACCTGTTTAAGAGTTCAAACCTGCTCATCTGTTGTAGTTCCTGCTAAGTCAATTCTTTCTGATCAGATTGTGTTAAATAAAGCTCAGATGAAAGTCTAATAAATCCTCAGACAAAGCAGAGCCTACAGTTAACATCACATTCCCAGAGAATGTTGATGACATGAGCTGCAAAGTATCAATACTTGTTCTGAAACTATTCTTGTCTTATTTATGCTATTTGGGCAAAATAGTGTCTACTTTTGTAATATTAATTTTAGTAGACCTCATAGTTTCGGGCTAGGTTTTAGTTTTATTCATTTATTATTATTTTGTAATGCTAATTAACATATTATAACAGACCATAGACGTACTTCTCACGATTCAGGTGAACTCAAATATTGCTTTCAATTGTTAATCACTATGGCAGCAGTGCAAATTTTTCATTTATCAAATCAAAATACCAAATCAAAATACCCTCTGCAATTGCACATACTTGAATAAAACTGATCTGGAACGGTGTGGTGTGCAAATCAAAAACAATATTCCGTGGGTTATTTTTATTCTTGATAATAATGTGTCTTGGAAGATAATTTCGTTGACTTGGACAGTGAGGAAAATAATGAGGCCGTAGATGTGTAATTACAAACCTTCATGCATGATTTTCCATTCATTTACAGAACCAAATAAAAGGGAGAATTATTAAACCTTTTATTCAGGCATTGAGCAAAACTAATGAATACATGATTTCTCTCTATTTGCTGTTACTCAGAGAACAATTTATTCGAATTTGTACGACGTTAACATTTGAACAGCAGTGGTTTGGGTAAGTAACATCTGTTAACTATGACTCATTAGTAATATTAAGTAAGTGCAGTTTACTTATTTGTTGGAGTTCATTGGTTAAATGGCCCATATTACTATTTTCTGATCTATGTTCTAATTAGGGGTGTGCAAAAATATTGAAATATCAATATATCGTATTGTTTAATTTGATGATACAGTATTGATATCATGGGCTGCTGTATTGATATATCGTGAAGAGTATATTTTGGTATATTTTCCTAATTTATTTTGTTACAGCTCTATAGTTGTGCTGCTTGTTGAGTGGAAGGAAGCTTGTTTATGCAACACATTTGACATTTTCACTGTTTTGATGATTAAAATATGTGTGCTTCATATGAACTTTGCACAACAAGTGGTGTAACAAAGACTTTTAGTATCACTTATCACTTCTAGTATCATTTAGCCATTATTTTTATTGAACAGTATCGAATCGATTTGAAATGTATCGTATAGAATCATAAGCTCACTGTATCGGGATATGTATTGTATCGTGGCCTATGTATCAAGGTATGAATCGTATCGGTAACTTCTTAATGATACCCTGAATGTTATAATGTTATTTACTCATCGGAAACATAGTTGTGTTTTGTTTCATTCACACACAAGTTAGTTTAACACACAAACTGCATCTTTAGGCTGAGTTCTCTCAGACTGTAAACACTCTGTTCCACCTTGCGATGTCGTCTGGTAATACATGCATTACTCCACTGTGTTTTTGAACCACATACACCTTCACTAGAATCATTTGGATAATTTCAACCCTGGAATTGCCAATTTTTGCTAAACAAAAGGTATAAGGCAGCTGTTAACTTGAAAACTACCACGATATGACATTTTGAGCTTTGGAAATGTAGACAGACTAATAATAATAATAAAGGATTACTCAAACTTGTGCGAATGAAACAAAACACATCAGTGGCTTCACATCGTATAAAAACTTTTCTTGGACTTCAAGGCTACCTTAACTGGCCTTCAAAAAACCGTAAAGTAGTCTGGCCTGTTGTGAGCTGAACATTAAGCACTTGGTACAGACTTTTCACCTCTCTTTTCCATATTCACAACAAGCGACCCTTCTATTGTACTGCTATCAAAAGCTAATGCTACTTAAACTGAGTCCATTCCACAATACATTTTCATACGAGCCATTTTCTATTCAGTCTGACACTCCGAGCGGTACAATGAACTCTGCAAGTCCGACAAAGCTATGTTATGTTAAAAAATTGATTAGATTTGAAATAGTGGAAACTGAATAGCTCATAAGTCGCTCACTCAATACAAAAGAGGAGATGAATTGTAAAATTAGACTAAGTGACACAGAAGAAATAAATCAAATATTGTCTCTGGATGTGGTAGTCACATTAGACTGGCTCTATAATATTCATGCATGCAACAAAGGATTCATACATAATTCAAAAGGATAGCTTCTGGCAAACTCTCAGATCCAGCGAGCATGCAGCCAACAAAACAAAATGGAATAAAATAGGAAATAACAGTGGCACTACAAATATGGCAGAGAGAATAATCAGATTAGGGCCAAGTGTAACAGAAATGATTGTGTGTGAGGGCCACGGAGCAAAATACTAACACTGACACAAAGAGTTCAATTACGAGCTGCAGGTTAGGAGGGGCTTCTCTGTGTCTGTAAGTCTTAGGCCAAACTCAGAAGAATAAAAGTGGTCTTCTGGTTATATCAAAGGAATATAGATTTACAAGGGGACTATTCTTCTTTGCGGGATTGAATTTTGGATGTATTGTTTAACAGGATTGCCAGAAATACATAACAAGATGCTTATTATTAGTAAAATAATTAAAAGTATATATTACTTAGAGCAAGTATTGATCATATACACAATAGGACAGAGTAAGGATCATTTAAGACCACGTGAACATCTGTTTCAGGTATGGGGCCATTTTTAGTTTGAATTTTAAGCATTGTGATAACACTAGTAGGCAAACATGTTTATTTTGACGTTGTAATATTATAATGTCAGTACATCATGTGTCCCAAAGTCTGGGTCAGATAAGAGATTTTTTTGAGGTGCCTTGTCACGATGTAGGTCTGCAATATACTATATACAAATAGGTGACTTATCGATAGCTTTTATTGCTGGTTCAATACTGGTTTTCATTGTTTAAAATTTGAGTAATACTAATTGTTCAGAGGGACATGATCACTCAGTCAACAATAAAATATTGTCATTAATGGTCAGTAATGGTCAAATCCACCTTTATTTTGTGATTTATGAATAATGTCTATTGACTTGGGTCGCGAAGGTTTGTGACTTTTAAAATATGGGTTTGGGAAATACTGATGTAGATATTAGGGATGTAACAATAACCGAAATATCGTGATATCGTATCGTCAAAATTCTCACAATAATATCGTTGGCCATCACAATATATCGAATCAAGTCGAATCAAGTCTCTTTGACTAAATTAAGAGTTATGGTGCAACAATAGCTAAAAAAAAAAAAGACAGAGGTAACTACATAGACCATGATCCTTTTCAATGTAGACTACAAGAAGAAATAACAGTTCTAAGTCTTATTTCTTTGGATTAAGTCTTGTCAAGGCATTTTAAGATGAAAACGTAGCATATTAACAGTTTTGTTAGCCTCCACAAAGTATCACAATAAACACTGTACTGTATCATGAGCTTTCCCAGGATATCGCAATAAATATCGTACCATGAGGTTCATACCATGATGATATCGTATCGTGAGACTTGGATATCGTTACACCCCAACATATGTATTTCTGTTATATAACTTTTTACCTACATTTCATTTTGCAAACTAACTTTTTATTATACCAAACTACAATCCATATGCATCACAACTTCACATTTTTGATTTCTGATTGATTTAATTTCTTATTTTGTCATGCCCTAGAGTTTTTTTTTTTTTTTTTTTTCTCAGATGTTTTGCACGTTGTGTTGTGACCGCGCTTGTGTTCCTGTGCCTCACCTTCACAGCCCCTCTCTATCTGGCCCACACAGTCCAGTGCGTCGGACATGAGGTCTGGGAGGCGTCCGTTCAGGTCCACTGAGGCCAGGCAGCCCTGGAAGCCCTCCTTCGCGTGCACCAGTTTGGGCAGCTCTTTGTACATCTCTTTGGACACGCCGCCAATGTAAAGGTTTCCTGTGGAAGCAAGAGACACGTGTCAAGACTGCCCTCTGGTGGACCAAGGGCATCACTGCAACTTCACAATATTGACGGAGGAACATGTTCTCAGATATTTAGCATTAACTTAAGTAATAATAATACATGTGCTAAATAAAAATGAGCTATTAATGCAATATTAATCTTGCTGAGAGCACTGTATAAGTTATATTTTACAATGCCACTGTATGGTTTAAGTCTACCTACAACTTTCGGATTCAGTCACTAATAATATGTAAATGCTCAGACTGCAAGACCAACTTTAAATCTTACATCTTCAGTGCATTTGAAATTTGAATTTAAAATGCAAATTTGACACTGCCAGTTTACTTTAAATGTATGCGATCGTACGGTATATTTATACAAAAATGCAAGAGTGTAAAATGCAAATGTGGGTGGAAAGTTACAGCAATTAAACTAGATGAATATATGAATAATAATCAGAAGTCAGTTTTTCTTTTTATTCCCTTTGTCTTTATTTATTCCCCATAAACAATCCTCTCATTAAAGTCACTACTTGAAAGATGGAAGAGATGGAGACAACACATTACTCAAAGCTATTAACAAATCCAATTGCTTTTAACTAGTGTCATTACTCACTTCAACTATCCAAGAGAGTTTAATAGATTTTACTTATACCTTTCAGATCGAGGTTTTTGGCCCCTGTGGTGGTCTGAGTGGTGATCTTGGTGTCGATCTTGACCATGTGCAGATTGTTGGTGTCTCTGGAGATGATCACGTTGTGCCAGTGATTATCATTCAGAGGTTTGTTGGAGTTGCCTTTGATGAGGTGAGCTCCATTCCCCAGGTCAGATACATAGTGGAGGTACCTGCACCAAAATATGCAAATTAATATCATCATCAAGTTAATTTTTTAGACTAACAGAGACCGCTGACGAGGCCATATATTTACTTGAAAGTTGAGGACATTTTTGGTCTCCTTCATTATGATTCCAAACTGGGGCAGTGTTTTGTTAATACTTTGACTCCTAGCTATATGTATTTATAATCCACTCTCTCAAGTTGGCTCCCATGTGTGGTGCCTTATGGAGATGAAAAATACCCATTATTGCTGGAAGCATATTCAGAAAATTGTCTGGCAAATGATTGATAAGAAAATGAAACTAGGAGAGAAATGCAGTGAAAACATTATACTTGAAAAATTTTCTTTAAAAAAAGGAGTTTATATTTGAAACTGTATGTAGATTTGTGAACACAATATGCAGTTTGGTCCTGATATAGACTTGGTTTGATGCTGTTCTTGTCCTGGTTTAGTTCTGATCTAGTCCAAGTTTAGAGCTAGATTTAGGTTAGTTTAGTTTAGTTCAAATTTTTTATTCACCACTGTCCCGGCATACAACAGCTTGACAATGAAGACCAGACATACCTCACAAGAGCTGTACATCTGTCAAGTCATCACAATAAAAACGATGGAAAACTCTTTACATTTTGTTTTCTGAATCTTGGCATAGTAAATTCTCCATTTCTTATGTACAGTCCTTCTCAACAGATGCCATTATGAGATACAATTACATGTATCCATTCCCAAATGTCCATGTAATAAATATCACTACTGATGAAAAATATATACAAAATTACAATGGTTCTAGATTCCTATCAAATAAAATTAAATCTAAAGATGCGATCCATAGCCTTTCCAGCAGAAGGTTTACCACTTGGTTTTTGCTTTGCCCTGAATGTTTCACAGTATGACATTAAACGTATCTATCTCCTTGTTGACTAAACAAGGCCACATTCGGAATTTAATAACTGCAAGATAGTTAGGTTTAATACCTAGAAAAGTACCCAGAAAAGTTACATAGTACAACCTTTGACTTAACTTAAAATATAAGACATACATATTAACAGTGCCTTCTGTAGTGCTGGTTTATGCTTATTGTTTCTTTATCATTGCTGGTATGTGCTGCCCAGTGCCATTGTTGGTATCTTTAATTTTCCTTACCATTGTCGGTGTCCTTATGTATGACGGCAATGCACTTATGTTACCAAACTGTAACAGTCACTTTTTGTCCGCACTTGTAAATAGTTCATATAGTTTAATGTAAAATGTCAGCTCATTGTGTTAGATTAGAGGAGGGATTAAATGCATTTTCTTCTTCCCACTCCTTTTTGGGCCAATTTTGTTATGTTTTTGTTGTTGTAATTTCTACTATGATTTCATTAGTGTTATATCTTCTATTGCAAAAGAATGTGAATTTCTTACTTGCCCAAAATAAATACATAAATCAAACATGGACAGACAATATTTACAAAAGTGAGATAAGGGTGTATAATTTTCAATTTATGATCTGGTCTCTTACCCTTTGACAAGCTCCACCACTATGAAGTCATTGCCGTCCCCACTGTTGTACAGGATGAGCCCGTCAGATGAGGTGGTTTTGAACTGGAAGAACAGGTGCATGGAGTAGTAGGCCTGCAGTGTGGACAGCGTCACATAACTGGAGCGGGACTTGAAGGTGATGGGGTCTGCGATGATGTTCTTGTAGCCGATCATGGCGTTGAGCTCACAGTAATCTATATCACCATTTTTGCACAGGTCGATGTAGGCCATGCCATTGAAGGAGAGGCTCTGGATGTGGCCAATGTAGTTGGAGGGAACATTCATGGACATAAAGCGCTTCTCTGTGACTATGCCCGTCTCTATGTTGTGGAACTCCAGCTGAGTGTGGTCACCCGCCATCTGACCTGTAGTAGCACGCACAAAAAGGAGACAGAGAAAGGGGTCATGGGAGACAGCGGATGGACTAAAAAGTACACTGTGCAACTTGCACTTAAGGTGGAGGGTCTGTTACTTTCTTGTCTCCATGAAGATGTTATTTCTCTGCCTCCCTTGCATTTGTTCAATTATAAGTATTTTATAGCTCAAAAATTCCATAAAACTTGAATTTGTAACATGTGCAGATTCGCTTCTCCATAGATTTAACCTGTTTCCACTGTGATTACCAAGTTTATTTTCATATTGTAGAACAATCAAGGCAAAACAGTAATATCTCCATGGAGACAAGCAGGTTGCGGACCCTCCACCAGAAAAGTTACACAGTGCACCTTTAAATTTTGGCTGGTGCATAGAGGTGCCAAAAGTTTGCCAAAACTATTTTAAAAAGTAAACTCAAAAATTAGGGGAAAAAAATGATAAGATGCTGATTAACAACTGGCAAACACTGGTTTATCCAACTAGTATCAAAGTATTTTCGAATTAACAGGAAATGAAGTGTTAAGTATCTACAAATCTTCATATTGCAGCAAGGAATCTCTGTCTATAAGAGGTTTCACTTGTCACTCTACAGCAGGGGTGGGACCAATTCTTTGTTTTTCAAATCTCAAGTCTTTGACCTCAAGTCCAAGTTAAATCCCAAGTCAAATACAGGCAATTATAAGTCAAGTCTTGAGTCACTGGTCCATAAGTCCAAGTCGTCTGCTTTGAGCTTCAAGTCATCTGAAGTCTTTAAAACAAAGGTGCAAATATAGCTTAGAGTTTTGCAATTTAAATGAATTTTAAGATAAACTGTACTTGTAACAAATCACAGTATTTATATATGAGTCTTTATAGAGTATATAAGAGTTGTAGAAATTAATTTAGTAAATTTTTCCCTTTTAAATGTCTTTAAGATCTTGACAAGATCTTAGTGTGAATCATTATGGTCAAAATAGAAAGAATTCAGATTTAAAAGTGCTTCTCAAGTCTTCTTAAATCTGAGTCAATTCCCAAGTCACTGAACTTCAAGTCCAAGTCGAGTCTCAAGTCTTACTCCGTTTTATCAAATCAAGTCTCAAGTCCTAAAAAATAGTGACTCAAGTCTGACTCAAGTCCAAGTCATGACTTGCAAGTCCCCACCTCTGCTATACAGGATTATTGGTTTAGTGTTAATGGTAGAATAAACAGAATATGTAATGATGACGAAAACTGGCCAAATGGAATTGAATGTGTCATGGTATTATTGAGTAATTAAAATCATCAAGTAGTGACTATTTGGAACAGTATTGTTCTATTGTGTAATGTATTGTGTAACGTGTTGTGTAATGAACAGTACCTTCCACAGGCGGCAGGTCGTCCACGGTCAGTTTGAGACTCTTGCCCCTCCTGAACACTCTCACCGTGTGCCACTCATTATCGTTCAAATTCTGACCCGCAAATATAGTCTCTGGACCTTTGCCTGCAGGACAGTCCACACAGCCATTAACACAGGACAGCACACGCTTTGGGACAATGACAGACTGAAGAAGATTAAAAGGTAGAGAGAGTGAGAGATATTTGAAAGACAGGGTAGGATGCAATTTTGAATGTAGCTGTATCTGACTTGCATTTGTTTAGCTATTTCAATAACAGAGAATTAAAAAAAAAAATTGAATCCCTGCTCTGAACTGACCACCGGGGGGCAGCAGATAACCATGAAAAGCCCGTGCTGGAGGAAAGCGCCTTGTTACACCTTGTTACAGCCTTGGCCCTTACATTCTGCATTCACTCTTTTACTCTCAATAAAATCCCCATTGAATGCGATTTGTCTGATAAATGCAGTCGTACAAATTTGGAAAATACAGAGTGTGATCATAAACTGCTCTTATTTTTCAAGCTTACGGACAAATTTAACACATCGGGAAAGGCCACTAAAGACCCATTTATCCGTACGCCTCATGTAACTCAAGACCTTCCCTGCTGTGAAACGCCCTCCTTTATCAACACTGAAAGCACTTTACAAACACACGTAATTGGTTAATACATAATTCAGTAACACTATAGTTTAGAGACCACATATTCATAGCTAACTAAGTGATAATTGGTATGCTAATTAGATGTTACTTAGTTAGAAATTGGTATTAATCAAACACTTATTAATGCTTATTAAGATTTCAGTGTATGCACAAAAACATCTATTGTAATCTTCACTACTTTAATGGAAAGAAAATAGTTAATGGGTTAGTACTCGCAAAATACGGCCTTACACAAAAATGCATTAAGTACTTTATACTAACTTAATACTAACAAATATGTAATCAAGCACTTATTATGCATATGCATAATATGTGGTCCCTAATCTAAAGTGTTACCCATAATACTGATTATAGGTCACAAATATGATCTTTACAAATTACCAAATAATTATTGTGAGAATTTCAGACACAAAAATAAGTTATCTCTATCTACACTCCACACACGCTACATCAAATAAGTTAAAATTATTTAAATTAGAAACATACATTATTTGAGCAGATTCAACTTGACAAGTAAAGTGATCTACTAATGGAATAAGTGTGTTTTTCTTAATTCAAGCTTTTGTTTCTTATTTTAGTGCAATACAGCACAGAGTTGTTGTTTTTCTTATTTTAAGTGTAGTATGATGTATTTTCATATTTTAAGTACAAAAAGTCTTGTTCCACTGGTAGATCATTTTACTTGTCAAGTGAAATTTACTCAGATTATGATAAAATGTTCTTAATTCAAGTCATCTTAACTTGAATAGATTTTAGCGTTTGCAGTGAATAACTGCATAAAATTACAAGCAAAAGTCAAATTTGATATGGTGACAGCTTCAGTAAATGTACAATGCTCTATAAAGCATCTGTCATGGCTTTATTATTGTTCTCCAGACCCCATGTGACCCTCCTCCATTAACTAACTACACATCTATCTTGGGCTGCACATTTCAATAGTAAATCCCCACAGTGCGTTTGACTTTGCCCCCCCCACTTCCCCACTGCTCGGCTCACATCAGGCTCGTGGTGGCTGCTGTCCCCTGCTCCTGAGCTCTGCCCTTGTGCTCTGATGGATCTGCACTAGGCTCTGCGCTCCACTGCCTCCAGGCCTCAGGGAACAGCATGAGAAGATGTGATTATCCAGTCAATCAGCCCCACCCACGGGACCACGGGCGCACGCTGGTGAGAACGGGTCAAATGCAGTCGCTTTCTCATAGGTGGACAGGGCGTGAGTCAAGCAGCGGGAGAGGGTATTACATTACTACGCTATACATCAAAGTTATAGATGGCAGGATTGGGTAGCAAGCGTATGGCTGCAAGATGAATCCAAACTCAATCAATACTGTAATTTAAATAGTCACAATTAACAAACTGCAGGGCCGTCGTTTTTGGTTATAATGTCCCATGTGATTAACAAAATTTCTGGTACCTTTTTATTTTTTAACTACTCCTTAATTAGAACAGTTTATTAAAGGTGCATTGTGTAACTTTTTTGGTGGAGGGTCAGTCATCTTGTCTCATTTTTGTCTCCTGGAAGGTTTCCCCTCCACAGATCTGACCTGTAATGTAACCTATAGTTGTCTCCCCTTCAGAACGAGGTTAAATCTCTTTTGTGGAACATTCTAAACAAAGTAAAAAACACATCTCCATTGAGAAAAGCATTTGACGGACACTCCACCAGAAAAGTTACCCAATGCACCTTTAAGAAAGATTCAAATTAGTAACTACTTAATTAAGGGGTTAGTAATAGGAGGAAGGTTTTGGGTATTAATTATCTAGTTACTAAACCTGAATCATTCTTAATAAAACTACTTGTTCTTTATGAATTGTTTGTTTGTTCTTTATTATGGATATTAAAAGTGCAGCTACCAAATATCCTCTCTCCATTGGCTACACAAACTAACTATCCTACATAGACTGAAATACATGGGATTATTGTTTTGGATGAGTAGTAGTATTTATTTTAGTTTCTCAACTGGTGCTCAAGGGTGCGTTAAAGTGTTGCAATGCGAACTGAATCTTGATTTATAATTGTAATCAACTGCAAAATGATTGGGTTTCATACAGATGAGGGGAGCATAGCAAGATTAATTTTCAATTTGATTACATTTTCAATCACATTTACTTCAGATTTTTATATTTATTTCATGTCTAGTGTATTTTCTTTCTGCATGTTTTCACACGCTTTAATATTATTTATATTAATCTATACGTGCCCTATTATGCATTCACAGTAAACATACTATAAACTACTTGTTCCTCTGTGTAGTTGTGGCGAGTCAGTTGTCATATAGTCTGGCTGTTAGCAGTGTTTAAGCATTAGTGGCAGTATTCCCCTCAGACAGCTGTGGCCCTGGGGAGCACTGGTTCTAATTGACAGTGATGTGTTCTTTGAGTTAGTGCACAAATCCTTCATGCACATAGTGGACCCATGCGGCTGCCTGACAACACATTCATTAAGAAAAACTAAGGACTGAAATAACACAGGGAAAATCATTAATGTTAACTATTTGTGTGGGAGAGTGGAACGGGCTTAACGCACTCTCCAAGAAGTTCAATTAAACACCCTCCACTGACGTAATTAGGTCTGAAGCCAGAGAACTACCTTTTCTGCTTCCCCAGACGTGTATATCAGACAGAGTTTTTGTGTGAATTCAGTAAAGATATTTTGTACTGCTGGTTATTGTTTTAGAAATAAATCTGATTCTGCTTTTTAATGCATTCTAATATACACACTCACTCCATCTGAATCATCAAAAGGAGTCAGAATTATAATACTATCAATGCGTAACATATTATAGTTATATTAGTAAGTAGTGGGTGTTTCTGATTCCACATTTCAGTGAGATATGGACCAATAATACTAATGGCTACTTACTAACTTTGGACTTTTTTATTGTGGGATAATAAAACTGCAGAATAAGTCCTGCTAAAATTTAATGTGTGTAATAAAAACATAAGAAATAACACGAGATTGTTTGAATTTATAAGTGAGTGACACAATCAAATTGAGCATGTTATAACCAGCTGGTGCTTCTAGTTTTATCCATTTATATTTTATTTTTGCACTTTAAAATATCATAACAGCCATGTAAAATGTCCCAAACTGTTGCACAGTGCGATAAGTAAGCAAACATAACATTATTGCTAATTTCACATGAGAGCTCGTCAATGTTAATTATCTGTGATATATTTTGATACTTGGATTTTAGCAAAAGAGCCACCAATCGCTGCAGTCTTATGTAAGTACCAGAACCTGTCCCTGTCTCATTCTCTCCTCTTTTCATCTGTAAATAGTGAGGTTACAGCGGTATGGCAACAGCCAAGTACATTAGAGGAACAAACAAAACTTATCTCATGTTTGCCCCCTACAGCACATGATTGGGACTACGGCGTGTTTGCACACTTTATGAGTTCATGCTATCATCGCAAACCACCAATGACCTTTTAAAGCCTTCGGAAAGGGGAATTAGAGCTCAGAGCTTTTTTATTTGCATACACAAACAAGCAGGCAATCCAAGACGCCTGAACAATGCTATTTAGCATTTAGAGAGGTGTTAAGAAGGAGGTGTCTCACAGCGGCATGTCTGCAGGTCGGGGGAGTAACGTGTCTGTGATTCTCAGCAGGCAATGACCTTCAAGTATGATATACACAATATAGGACTGTGAAACAGTTGGCTTCTATTGACGTTATGCTGCATGCAACAACAGGCTATGGGTTAGAGTTTTCTATATCTATTAACTGATACCAAGTGTTCTAGCATACACTGATCAACCATAACATTATGACCACTGGCAGCGTGTAACAGATTCGTTCTTCATTATGGCATGTATTAGTGAAAAGAAAGCAATTAATACTGATGTCATCAACATTCCCTGTGGGTTTGATGCTAACTGTAGGTGCTGCTCTGTCTGAAGCTCTGTCACTCAACTTAGACTTTCTGAACTTCATTTTAACACAATGTGATCATAAAGAGCTGATTTATTTTGAACTAATTAGCTTGGTCTGATTTGTGCCGTTAAAGAAGTCCCTATCACATAACATTACAGTAACAAGCCAGCCCTAGACAAGGGCTTTTCATCTTTTTGTTGAAAATCAAACACCTAAACAGGACCATGAATGTTCCTATTGATTAAAAGCTACAATTCCAGGAATAAAACCATAAAGGTTGAGAAACCTCCATCCAAACTTACGACGGTCCAACCACAGCCACTAATTTGAATCACATGTCCCTCAAATGCGAAAGATATCTCCTCTTGAAAATTCTCATAGCATTCAGAACAAACTACATAACTTCTTTCAACTGAGACAAGTAACAGTTTGATCTCCCTTCTGAAATCAGAGAGGGAGGATACAGCTTCAGATCCACTCACGTCTTTGTAAAGTTTTGTCAGAGAGTTTTGGTTCTGGCTGGCCAGGTAAAATCTACATGGGCTACAAGTTGTAAAAGTCTGGAGACAGAAGGATGGCCTCTGTATTAAAATTCAAGCCAGATGGTCATGATGTTCTGTCTGACGAGTGTAGAACCTTTAAACATCAGCGAGCCTCACAGATTTTACCTCTGGAGAACTAATTATTAATTCATCACACTTCTTGAATAATAAATGTCAGGGATATTTACCTCCCAAAATATTGCACACTAACTTCTCAGCTCAAACACACACACATCCAAAGCATCTATTTGTGATCCCACAGAACAAGATGGACTCCCCTCCCCTCCCTCTCCATCCCTTTCTTTCTGCTCGGTGAGGCAGGTTAATGAGAATAATAAAATCACGCTCTGTATTTCCTCTGCGCCTTGAATGGCCTCATCAATTTACAGCCGACGTGAGACACTAAAGCACAAGAGAAACAAAATAGTGCGAGAAAGAAGAAGAGAAGGAGCTCATCCGTGTCCAAAATACCTGCCTCTGTACACAGCAGCAGAGTTATTGTTGTGAAGGTTTGTTAATTTCAAATGGCCTGTAGTCTATATTTAGGACTGTTGTTAATACTGGCTTTTACTGTTGCTTTTTTTAGTCAGGAGTAACCAATGGGCGAATGAGATCGGTTTCAAAGACGTATGTAAATAAAAGCAAGAATCCAATTATTTTAAAACATCATAAATATTATAACAAAATAATACATGGATGCATAGCTGAAAAATATTCTTATACAGCTTCACAGGTTCACTTGTTATGGATTTGTAAGCGGTAGGGCATCAGGTGCAGAACCAGTTGGTATGATTGCAAATTACAAAGCAGCTGTTATACTGTGGTAAAAATAAAATATAATAGCTCATTTAGTATTTGATGGTTGTAACAAAAGTCTACTCAAAGTTAATATATCAGAAATCTAATTTGCAAGCTTTTCCCAAACTATTTAATGCGACTATAAATTGTCCAAGTTGCGTATGAATTATTAAAGATATCTGACACCTAATATGTTTGTTTATCTTGTATTTTTATAATTAGAATATTATTTTTAACACCTTTCAGCACATTTTCTTGGAATCTGGTTACACACACCTAGTTTTTTTCCCACTACTTTGATGCAAGTCAGACACATCTCACAATAGCCTGATTGAATTCACTTAGCCTGCAGATATTGAGACTATCTGACAGTATAGGACAAATTGCATACACGGTTGCTAAGAAACAACACAGCAGCTAAAACAGTGTTATCTGGGAACAAAAGAGACTAGAGAAGAAGAGAGAAATATGTGAACGTTGACTTACTGGAGGTACAGTTAATCCTGATACAATCTAGATGGGGAAGAATAGATGAGAGATAAATTCATCTTTCAATGTAACAGCTGCAGACATCATAAAACATACAGGCCACTCATCTGGGGACGCACACACGGACACTGGCCAGGCTCCACTCTTTGCTGCTATGAGGATTATCAAGCATATCTTTGACGTTTATGTATTTGTTTTCCTAAAATTAACATTATAACATTATCAGATGCAGAGCCAGTGTCAAAAAGAGCCAACTGGGAGGAGGTCTCCTGTAACTTTTAAAACAAGGTGGGCATTGAATTTACAGGAGAAAAGGAACATTTGAATAGAATTAAACTATTAGTACATGCTTAAGTAACCATAAAAATTAGAATGTTTATAATTTGAGAAAAAATATAAAGAGGTATTTGGTGGCAAGCTACTGTTAGATATAATTCAGCTACTTCTACATCTTCCTTTAGTTTAAGGGACAGTGTAGAAAATGGTGACCCAAATCCACCCTCACCTCTCCCCATTTGGCTCTAGCTGTCGTGTGTTGTCAACCACAGAGGCAAAGTGGTCGCAGACAGCCAGAGACCAGCACAAACTCAGCCTTACAGGGAATGCTCTGCTTTTGAAGGAATGACAAGGAGATAGGCCAAGGGGAAAGAACGAACTCACAAACTCTCCAATGTGTCAGACTTAATTCTGTAGAAAAACAGAAAAGAATGTGCGTCTGGTCAATAGGTGGCGCTGTTGTCCTCCTAGCAGGATCTGGCTGCTTCCTTTTGGGCTCAGGACAAACACAGCCGGTCTATTGGTATGCACGGTTAAACAGCAGCGCTTAGGAAGCCCATTTCTGTTTAGCCAGTGGAAAGGCGAAATAGATGGCTATCATTTGTGCGGCACAGCTCCGTTTGAGAGATATCAAACTTTTCACAAGCATCAATGGATCCTTTCCTGAGCAAATAACACATAAACCGACACGCACGCACTTCACTGGCTGTGTGTTTTCTCAAGCTATAAAGGTATAAGGTGCATATCAAAAGCAGATTCAGAGCTATACCAATGTGTATGCTTATGTTGCCAGAAAAAAATCTTCAGTGGAATGTGTCATGTAAAGGTTCAATGAGTGAAGGATTTTTAATCTATCGGCGTACTACCGCTGACTGTAGAATCATAGCTGCCGGGGATGTTCGCAAAAGACTTAATTTTTGGTTAGAAATTCCTTCTCTCACACAACCACAGTAAAATTATTCCAAATGATGAAAGATTTGTTACGTAATAGGGGATAATAGCACCTGAGTTGAATTTTCAGTAAGTTCCGCCTTTCAAGTATTTAAAGTGCGTATGGCAGGTTAGACTACTAATTTTCCAAAAACACAGTTGAGATCGTTATATTTAAGGTTTTTGCTAAAACATTCACACTCGTTTTCCTCAATTTGACAATTTTTTTAAGTTTAAAATTTTACGTCCAGGTTGGAAATCATCACATCACACTAGGAAATGCCATAACTGTTACCTAGCAAAACCAAAATATAAGAAAAATAATGTTTCGGATTGGGAAAAATTGTGTTTCTTAGTTGTAAATTGTGCCTAAACTTTGGATAGAATTCTCCTTAGTGTTATGTCATCAATGCATCTTGGAATTTTCTATACACTCTGTAATTTTCAACAATTTTTCAACTTTTCCACATAAATTGGTTCTTGTTCAGTGTAAAACTATAATTTATATTTTCAATAGGTAAAAAAAATAAATAAAAAATCCCAATCCAAATTAAGTCAAAATTAAAGAATCATAAAAATCTGTCATACGCACTGTGATGCAGAAATTTCATTATTTTAGAGTTATTGGGTGAGATTTGAAACCATGTGAATTTGCCAGCAACACTGCATGTGATTTTAACAATATATTTTGGTAGTTCTACTTTAGTCCGGGGTAAGAAAGTAGGGTCTATTTTCACATAGCAACGAGCATTCCCTGTTAGAACATTTGTGTGCTCATCTGGCAGTGAGCGTAGAGACCGCAGACTCTGGCCATTGAAAGCATCTACACAATCTCTTTCTAGTCAAGAGACTGGGACAGCTCTAAAACTACTACAGTACTTTGGCTCTATAGCAAGTGTAGCTCTATAGGACTTTACTGCAGTTGTTGACACACATACTCTCCGAGGCATTACCTAAGTTAACGGTCAGTCGCACTCGTCCGCTCTCCAGCTCCAGGCGCAGGGTGTCGGCAGAGTCCCTGGACGTGGTGGCGATGAGGATGCCGTACGCCCTCTGTGATCGGAAACGCAGGGAGACGTCTTCTGCCTCCGTGTGCATGACCACGGGCAGCTGCACCTTCATGAACTTACTGCCATCGTAGCTCAAGATGGTTGCCTCTGTGAACACAACAGATGGGTATTTTATAGAGGGAAGGGACAGGAGTGCTGTGGGGTGGAATGCAGTATTAGAGGATACATCATATTGATTATTATAGGACAATCTATACCTATGTGTTGTTAAGATGTAAATGAGGAAATAAGGATTAATAGATAGTTTGAAAGAAGGTATAAGAGTGTGCCTCTGATACACCAGTAGTTCTTTAACTGTGGTACTCAGAGGAGTAAATGCAGTACATTTTTGTCTTCCTTTGATTTAGACTTTGTTTAGATCCAGTGTTACTCTGAAAATCAAATATTTCCTTTGGGAGTACTTTGTATGAAGCATTTCAGAGCAACTGCCCAACACTGAATAATACATTTTTGTCCTTGTAAAGAGCTTTAACCATTATCTGAAATAATGCCAATTACCAAAAAAGGTGGACAAAAATAATAAAGTGTCTAGAACTCTAGTTTCCCCCTTGAAACCAAATCATGCCCAATAAGTATAAAATTATACAGCTAAGGTCCTGTCCTGACCAAGCCCAGCTAAATATCTGGAAATGGGTCCCACTTGCTGCTCTTGACAAGTATTCCCTTTGGAGGGAATAAAGTATGCCATAACCTTCAGAAATATTTTTGTAGTACATAGAGGCCTGAATAAAACATCAAATAAAAGAATAAAATATATAATTAAACCCCAATATGCCCATCTACATTTTTCAAAAAGTTACCTGACAATTGTAACATTCTTACCAGAAATCTCAATTATACTAACTTACTCAATGTCTTTTAATTTGAATTAGCTAAAGATTTTACTAACAAAACTCATCACAATACAATATTGTAAACAGCAGGTATTGCTGTTCTGATGCCACAACAGCATTAGGCATGCCCCCGACAAACCCAGCAGCTCTAACTGAATTTCAGCTGGTCCACTCAGTCCATTTGTTGTGCTGCTGATTCAATTGTGGGCTTCACAGGAAAACTGCAGTCTTTTAGCAATGTTTCAAGATGTTCTCCTCCTAGAAGTGATACTGGCCTAATTGTGTTTCAACTACAGAAACAATCAAAAAGTCATTACAAAGGCTAATGCATCCAACAATTAGGCAACTAGAATTACATCCACAGAGCAGTAAATCTGTTGGTCAATAACACTGAGGACAGAGCACAGGAACACATTATATGGACTGCTACTGCGAATGACCAGATTGTGTCCATTTATTTTTAATGAGATAATTTCACAATAGAAAATCTGACTAAAATAGGAAGTTGCAATTAAGTTTACCCACTAATTTAACTGTCTTATAGTACAGTCTGAAATGTGTCTGGGAGGGCATCTGATCAAAATCAAATCAATATGCAACTCACTGCATATAGGATGTGTTATAGTAAAGCATAATTCTATATATATATATATATATATATATATATATATATATATATATATATATAAAAAGCCTTCCACTTGTAACTTGCACACACACTACATGTACGGGGTTAAGGATCTGGCCCAGTTCAAACTCACTCCTCTGAGAGTGTAAAGTCTATCATGACTGATCTTCTTTGCAGTACACTATGACCATTTTAGAGGACAGAAGAATTACCCTAAGTTGTGGACCTTAAATATTGACTCACTGCGGCTGCATTTACTCAGAGCATTAGGTCTGTGTCTGGAAAAATGTTTGTAAGGAGATTGTTTAACACCAGCAGGAGGCTATAAACACATTTCCGCTGGTGTAACTAAAGCATAACCCAATAACAGAGCCATTACAGTGGCTGCAGCGCTCAGGCAGATACACACTGTGTTAAAGAAGCAGATAGGGCTGGGACCGTTGTACACTCATCATCATTGTCCCATGTATCCCACAGGAGCTCTCCATCACATCCCTCACCCAAATCCAATTCTGCCCCACGCCCTCCTGGGGTGCTCCGCTCGTGACAGGCCCCAGTGACTAACTGGTCCTCTCTGCTAAACCGTCTGCTGCCTGCCACAGCCAAAGCAATGAGGTGCACAGGAAACAGAGATGCCACAGGGAAAATGAGAAATCCCACCGATATGGTACACAATGCAGCAAGTGGAATTTATGTCAAATATTTCTGCAAGTGTTCCTGCACTGACTTTCTGTTCATAATATTTTTACATAAATTGATATGACTAACACAGATTATACATGTTCTTCTTTCAAAACGTGGGTTTAACATTTTTCACAGCTGGTAAAAACAATTGGGTAACATTTTACAAAACTGTACCTTCAATAAAGCAAAACTTAAACTGAATTTATAATGAGTCTATTAAGAAAGGTTCAGGCTTAGTAACTACTTAAATGTATGTAACTTTATGGGGGTGGGAATTATTATAAAATGTAACCCACAATTGAGTGGTACGCATTACTTACGCACAATAACCAAACAATTATAGTCTATGATTAGCAACTGTTATAACCTTGTCAACTGTCAGATCTAAGCAAAGCATAATGAACACAAAAGTATGACGTTCTGTTGAATATGTCACCTCTGTTAAAATGCTGATAGTCTCCATGAGAAAGAAAAGCACAAACAGCTCAGGAGTGACACACGTGAAAATGATTATCTAATGCAAAGTGAACACCTGTCAGCAGCCTATCGTGCAGCCCCAGTCACTGTGAGGCGTCTGCTTTTCATTATCACAGTACAGTGGCAGAGCTGCAGCTGTGGGTCTGTTCCATGGCAAACAAATGGGAACTTTCCTATTGAATAAAAAATACCATGGTGGTTTGTTTTGTTTTTTTGTTGTTAGCTCAAATCACTACCTGTCATCTGGTTCATTTGATTCTTGGACTTGGAAAAATGAATAAAAGATGATTCATGATGTCAAGTATTTCATAAAACTTGATTTTGATACTAAAAAATAAGCTCAGTACATTTCTTCATACCGCAGGGGGAAAATACACTTTGATGTAACAAACTCCTCTCCTGTATCTTTATTGCATACTCATATAACACCAGAATATCACTATGATCTATTTTTTCCCCCCAGTATCAATGTCTGCTATAAGTAGTATTTAGTTAGATAACTGTATTAGTGCTACATAGTTAGATAGCTGTATTAGTACTAAAACTTCAAACTCGATTTTAATACTAAGGAACAGACTCAATAGTCAATACTGATACTGCACTGTAGTGATAATTAAAAACACTTTAGACAATAGAATAGTAGTTTCCATCTAGTCTTATATCTGTGTAATCCGGGTACTTTACATTGGGGTCCATGAGCGGAAACTGGTCTTTGTGGTCTTACATTTGTTCTGATGCTCATGATTATTCTAAATCTATTCGTGAATGCAGCTTTTTAGTATCAGTACCTACTTTAATAAAGATCTAATTTCGATTCTACTTTTAGTATCGATTAGTATCTGATTTTTGATACTTTTGACAACCCTAGCATCCGGGTATTGATTTCACTTTTCGCTCAAATAATATCACCACAAATCTATGTCACAACCCATGGCTTCATAATGGCTATTTCAGTAGCATCCCAGTGGGAGCAGACAACGATTTCAGTCTTTATTTACGCATATTCTATTTCATGGTCATTACATGGTGATTTTTGGTTATCACACAAGCATGGAGCAGTTAAGGGATAGCAGAGAAAAGAATATAGTGATGTGTTGCTAACTTGAGCGCTAATGGCACTCTATCTCTATTCTCCCTGAGGAAAAGTGCACTGGAAGACTGAGCTGTCAGAAGCATGTCAAACACAGCACTGCAGCAGCGGGGGGACCATGCACCCTATCCAGAAATCATCTCACAACAACAGCCAAAGCTTATTTTTATATGGAAAACGTATGTTCGACAATCATTATGAACAGAAATAAACACCAGGAAGAAATACATAATTCAAAACCATGCTCTTGTCTTCACAAAAACTAGACATCCCTAGTTGTTAAATGTGTGACAACAAGCTGCCAAGTGAATAGAAATCTGGAGAGGAGGAAATAGTCTGGGCGCACAAAGAAACACAGAGTATATCTTCATCCAGTCCAACTTTGCTCTTCTCCAGCTCCGAGTGAGTGTGTCTCCTTATCAGAGCCAGGGAACTTCATTATAGATATGAGAGCGAATGGGAGTAAAGCACCAAAGTGGATGAGCATGTCTGACAGAGGAGAGGAATCATCTACAGCTCTGCCAGGACTGTCACGACTGCAGCAGAATTTCACTACATATGTGTCAGAATGGTGCACTCTGATCATATAAAACATAACATCAAATACAGTACAGCAGAGCAATTTGGGAAAACACATAGAACGGCAAAACCATTGAAAATCACAATAGGAATACGGATGTTTGGATAATATTTGGCATTGCAAGTTCCAAATTGCATCCAAATGTACATTAAACCGACAGAAGCTCAGTTGGTAGAGCATTTGTTTCAGTTTCAGTTTAAATCCTGCTCTTGACATTCAACTGTGTGATTCCAGCTCCCACAGATGAATGCTGTCGTTGTGTTCTTGGGCATGACACTTAACCCACCTTGTTCCCAGTATCTTACCATTAAACCAGAAACAAAAGCTGTATTTTCAGGTTATTAAGGAGTTTTAAGGACCCATATTATGCTATTTTCTGATCTATGTTATAATGGTGTTTCATCATCATATGTGGATATATTTGTGGCCATACAGTGTGGTCCAGGCCTGATCCTGTCAGATCTCAGAAGCTAAATCAAGCCAGGGCCTGGTCAGTACTTGGATGGGAGACCACTGGGAAAATCAGGGACCACAGGGGGGCGCCAGTCACAAAAACTGTAGTTGTGTCCATAGGCAAGGCACTTCACTCACATCGCCTATTATGAAAGTGGTGTGTGTGTGAGCAATGGTGGTGGTCAGAGGGACCGATGGCGTCAACTGGCATGGCAACCGCGCTTCAGTCAGTCTGCCCCAGGGCAGCTGTGGCTACAGTAGTTAATAGCTTACCAACGCATATGGAGTGAATATATAATGCTCTGTAAAGCGTCTTTGTGACAAATGTCTGTGAAAAGCTCT